ATACTTATTCCATCTCAATAGCCCCAAAGTCTTCAGCAGTGTCAAATCAACTTCAAAGTCTAAAGCCCAAGTCTCATATAAAATATCATAATATCATCTAAGTCTGATGTGGTTGGAACTTAAAGTGTGATTCATCCTCAAACAAATTGCTCTTCAGCTGTGAGTTTCTGAAATCAAATACGTTGAATTGCATGATTGTGAAATACGATGGTCAGACAGACATAGGATAAGCATTTCCATTCAGAAACAAAAACCAGAAGAGAAACATTAACAGATTCCAAGTATGCCCAAAACCCAACAAAGCCAAGATTAATACTGAATATTAAACATAATCTTTGATCATTTGTCCTGTCTTCCAGATGGGGTTGAGTCCCCAGGGTTTTTGTTTGACTTTCCAAGACTAGAGTTGTGCATTGACAATTGTCTTGGGGCCTTGAAGAGAGTCCCAATCCATGACTCAACAGGGAATTGCCCTACTGGAGCCTCTCTGTGCTGGTCCCACATCTGCAGTTCTTTCCCTAGTGAGGACTGTGCTGTAGCTCCATGTCTGCAGTATCCTCTTCCCAGCAGAACTTTTAAGGACTTCATTTGAAATTGAGTGGAAGCAGCCATGCCTTCGTAGCCCTTGCACTCTGTGAACTTGCAGAGTTAGCACCATATGAATGGCTGCAAGGTTTATTCCTTATGCTTGCCAAAGTTAAGGCTGGAGCCACACATGAGTCCAAGCAGGGACAGCCAGGAAGTGTGGCATTAGAATTTGGAAATCAGAGTTTCAGGTGATGCTGAGTAGTGAGCCCTAAGGCCCTTGAACAATTCTGTCTTCAAGATCCTGGTATTCTGGGCCTGTGATGGGAGTAGCACCTTTGGAGACGTCCCAAATGCCTTTGGGGCCATTCTTCCATTCTCTTAATGAATGCCATCTGATTCCCATTGTGGTCCCTTCATGTTTTGGAGCATTCCATGGTACATGTGAGCCCTCTGACTTCTGTTCATACTAATCTCCTTATAAAATATTTCCTTGGTAACACCTTTGATGTTCTGTTCCAAACATATCTTTTAACTTTTCACATGGCATGGATTAGGATTTTTCAAATCTTTAGTATTGCATCCCTTAGACACTCTCATCTCACAATTCATTGTAAGAAGTCTAGACATCGTGCCACAACCTCAGCACAGGACTCAGATTTTTCTTCCTCCAAATATTCTGTCCCCCTCAAACTTAAGTTCTGATGTCCATGAGTACTACAACAGACCCAGTTTAGCTATGTTCTCTTAAAGTGGCCTTCCCTTCAGTTTCAAATGCATTACTCCTAATTTCTACCAGAGACCTAATTGGCATTACCTTCACTGTACAAGTTTCTACTCCCATTCTGATCACAGCCTCCTAAGCCATCTCTGAGAAGACTGAAGTTCTCTCTAAAGTCCTCCTCTTCTCCTGAGCCTTCACCCCATTTGCTTTAAAACTCTGTTCATTGCAGTTCAGGCTTCTTTTCTAGTGTTTCAGAACACTAGAAAAAAACTTTCAGAACTACTCTAGCCTCTACCCATAACTCCAGCTCCAAAGCCATTTCGATATATTTTGGTACATATTTTAGCAATATCTCCTTTCCAGTACCAGTTTATATCTTGAACTGCTGCTATGACAAAATATTTTAGACTGAAAATTTTATAAAAAACTAACATATAATTGTCAAAGTTCCCAATAATCTGGCAAGTTTAAGATCAAGGCAGAGACAGGCTAAATGACTGAAAGGGTACTGTCTTTGCTTACAAATATGGTACCTTGACCACTGTGTCCTCACATGGAAAAAGGGACAAATGTTATAGTTACCTATAACCCTTTTATAGGGCACTGATTCCTTTCAGAAAGGTCAATCATTCATGGCTTAATCACCTTCTAAAAGACCCAAACTTAATATTATTGCATTGGGCACTAAAAGTCAACATAAAATTTGAAAAGGATGCAAATGTTAAAACTTTAGAATCATGTAACTGAGGAATGAAGGAGGTCACAACATCATAATAGGACATGGAGTAACAATTATAAGAATATGTATGCTACAAGAGTAAACACTGAAAACTTCATAGGAAAGGAAAAGTTGAAGCGGATAGATGGGAGACATCACAGTAAATCGATAGCATCCAAAATCTGGCTTAATCACCTTCTAAAAGACCCAAACTTAATATTATTGCATTGGGCACTAAAAGTCAACATAAAATTTGAAAAGGATGCAAATGTTAAAACTTTAGAATCATGTAACTGAGGAATGAAGGAGGTCACAACATCATAATAGGACATGGAGTAACAATTATAAGAATATGTATGCTACAAGAGTAAACACTGAAAACTTCATAGGAAAGGAAAAGTTGAAGCGGATAGATGGGAGACATCACAGTAAATTGATAGCGTCCAAAATCTTCCCATGAACTTATGAGACTTATATTGAGTTTAAGCACCATTTGAATTTTGGCAGATACTAAGAGGGATATAGAGTCAATAAAAGTGGCAGGAATGATTTTGATATCTCTGTAAGGTTTTGTGGTAGCAGAAGTCCTTGGATAGTTTCTGGGCTCCAAGTTCTTCTTGTGGTCCCTTTGTGTTTTGGACCGTCCCACAGTACATGTGAGCCATTGTTTGTATTCGTTACTCAAATATGAACTCCCAGTTTGTACATGAGATTGTACGTAGAGGGACTGTTTGCACAGGGCATTTATAGACATGACTAGACTGAGTTCCCAGTGCTTTGGAGTCACCTACATTCTTCTTCAGCCCTCAGTGATGACTAGAAACTATGTCAGGCCTTGCCTCACTTGGTAATATTGTCATCTTCTTGCCATTGAAGACAGCTGGGGTCTGGAAAGAGTTTCTAATTAATGAGTTCATACCATTATTCCTGATGTAACTTGCCTTCTCTGATGCTGGTTTATTTCTTAAGGTATGGTGGATGAGGTTCTCAAGAGAAGTAGATTTCAAGCAGATGATAGGTGACCACAGGATATATTTCTGGGGCTCAAATGTTATTATGGATATGGGAACTCCTTTGGGGATGGTAAAATGCCTTAGAACAAAATAGAGAAAAAAGCTGAACACTCTAAATGAACTAAGTGACATTGAACTGTACATTTTAAAATGGTGAAGATTTAGTTGTATGAATTTAATTTCAATGAATAAAAAAAATATCACCATTAAATAATAATATTCAAGAAATTCAGGTGAGGAGCATGACAGTGCATGTGAATTGTTTTATAGATCTAGGTGCATGGTATTCAAAGTGTGGTCCCCAGATCAGAAGCACCTGCAAATTTACTAGAAAAGAAAAGTCTTGGACTCTCACCAAACTCAATTGAGTCAGTCATGAAGCCCAGCAGTCTGAGTTTTCATAAGCTATCCAGGTGATTCTGAAGCATGCTAAAACTCAAACCTATTGATCTAGGTTTTAGATTGGCAGGTTTGTTTATATATGTTGATTTTATAATTAAAAAATAAAACTATCAAATAAATAAACACATAGGGTCATACAAGGTCTAAGGGTGCCTATATGTTCAGGTTCAGGAATTATATTTTAATCTGATTCTATGCACCTAATGATTATTTCAAAATGAAGAAATTCTCCAAAGACTATTGATTTCACTATATCAACAACCCCCTCCAAGCAAATATGAAATGAATTACATTTATAACAGGTATTTTAGCAAAATAAAAGTAAAAGTCCTGGAATACAAAAATGATTCTCATTAGAAAATAGAAAACTAAGATAGTTCTAAATAACAGGGAGAAAAACAATCTCTCCTCTTCACTCACTGTCTAATCTTCTGCTTTAGACTTTTTTCTAAAGCTATACTTCATGCATGCTGATTTTAACATCTACTCTACCTGGAAGCTTGAAGTACCTGCTTTAGGGTCTTCCAATCTGTGCGGAAGAGGTGGAGGGCCATGAGAGAGGACCTTTCTCAGAGTAAGGAGTAATGGGTGACTTTCAGTAGAGACTTTATACCACCCAGCTCATAGCAGTTGCTGTGAATGGATGCCAAATGTGGACGGGAGAGAGAGTACTGGCTGCTCTCCAGCATGTGCTTGGGGCTTAGTGGAATGGACCATGTGCTTGGAGTAATTGCCTCCGCAGAAGCCTGGTTTCTATTGTTGTCGTACTATTTTCTCTGACCAGGCCATGTTATCTTCTCCTGTGAATATTAATTTCCCCTGAGTTAGGATAATCGGGCTGGGAGCAGCCCTCTGCAGAGCTGTGCCATATTGGCAGGACTTTGCTGTAAGCCCAGGCCAACAGACCATTTCTTGGAGTGTTTTCTAAGTCATCTAATGAAGACTCCATTCTTTTCCAAATGAGGTGGTGAAGGTTTGTCCTGAACCCTTCATAGCTTTGAGCAAGCAGTGCCCGGACCCAAACTCAAGATGGATTCCAAATCTGGAGGAGTGTTTCCTCTTATCTTTAATGCTTTTAATCAATTTGCACCTAGAAAAAATCAGTGTCTGCTCAATGCACAGAGTAATGAATATGAAGGAAAATGTTTGATCAAATCATAGGTAAAATTAAATTTCAAATTAATGGCACTTAGAGCAATAGTAATTATTCAGATTCCAAGAAAACACTTTTGATCATTGTGACATGGAAGCAATGGTTTAATAAACTGGTAAGAATAATGACTGAACAATTAGATCATGAATGAAACTGTTGTTGACAGAATCCGTTTTCAGCTGAAAATATGCATTAGGTGAGTATCATCTGCAAAGCACAGTGACAAGAACAGAATCAACCTTGTTCTTACTAGGAAAAGTAGGAAAAGGGGAAAGATTAATGGAATTGCACATTCATTGTCTCAGCACTATAATATGGAAGCACTTGAGACAGTCAAGGGACTAGAGACTAGCAAAGGATACACTCTGAAAGGCAATTGCAAACATATTGTGGTGGCTGATAGTGTTTTCCAACTTTCTGATCTGTGGTCCCATCTGAACTCTTTGTGTTTCCTCCATCATCCAGGTAACAACAGGTGGAAGAGCCAGCTACTACGTGTCCTATCGAAGAGAAGCCTTTGCACAGATAAAGCTGCCCAAGTACTCCTTGCCAAAGGTATCATATGCAGAACCTGACGTCCTAAGTCCTTCTGGACAAAGCCAGGGATGGAGAGGCTGTCTCCTTGGGCTGTGGGAAGGACTGCTGGCATTTAGTTTGGCATGCTTCCGAAGTTCCTCAATTTTGGACAGGCATTATTGGGAAAGAGGTCAAGTTCAGACAGGAACATAGCTGCTACCTGTGTGCATAGAAGTGCACCGATAGGTCTGATGGTTTTCTTGCTTCTTTTTATGTTTTGAGAGTCAGTATAAACACTGCCTGAGGTTTTTTTTTTTTTTTTTTCCTTCTCTACCGTTCTTACTAGGAAAAGTAGGAAAAGGGGAAAGATTAATGGAATTGCACATTCATTGTCTCAGCACTATAATATGGAAGCACTTGAGACAGTCAAGGGACTAGAGACTAGCAAAGGATACACTCTGAAAGGCAATTGCAAACATATTGTGGTGGCTGATAGTGTTTTCCAACTTTCTGATCTGTGGTCCCATCTGAACTCTTTGTGTTTCCTCCATCATCCAGGTAACAACGGGTGGAAGAGCCAGCTACTACGTGTCCTATCGAAGAGAAGCCTTTGCACAGATAAAGCTGCCCAAGTACTCCTTGCCAAAGGTATCATATGCAGAACCTGACGTCCTAAGTCCTTCTGGACAAAGCCAGGGATGGAGAGGCTGTCTCCTTGGGCTGTGGGAAGGACTGCTGGCATTTAGTTTGGCATGCTTCCGAAGTTCCTCAATTTTGGACAGGCATTATTGGGAAAGAGGTCAAGTTCAGACAGGAACATAGCTGCTACCTGTGTGCATAGAAGTGCACCGATAGGTCTGATGGTTTTCTTGCTTCTTTTTATGTTTTGAGAGTCAGTATAAACACTGCCTGAGGTTTTTTTTTTTTTTTTTTTTTTTTCCTTCTCTACCACTGTCTATTTAAAATGGCATAACTTACTGGAACAATAGCTGCTGGGGATTCGAAACAGCGACCTCCAGCGCAGTGATGATTGGGGATGAGTAAGCACGCAGTTGGCCAGCCCACGCAGCCCCATTACCTGGGGACACTCAGACGCAATGGGGAGTCTAGTCAGGCAGGGACTCATTTATTACAGGTATTACAGAGCTTATAAAGGCACCTGGAACTCCCCCCTCCCCGCTGAGGGTGTATCTTAAGGATGGTCACGCGCTGATCATGCACTCCTCAGCAGCGCAGAAGTATTCTTCAGACTTTCAAAGCAAGCCAGGCCCCCAGTAACTTCCTTTTGGACCTATGTAAGGCGGGGCCTTTAGGTCCCCAAAAATAGTAGCGATGGTAACATTTCAACTCTTCCGTTAGAAAAGCATGAAACTTATTCTATGGACCCCATTCCACGGGAACATTGAAAGATGGATCTTAAAATCTGTGTGAACAAAGACAGGATGTGATGGCATAACTTAATTGGGCTGCAAAGAAGCTGTCTCTAGGTGCACACGTGATTGTCATATGACAAAGACATGGGCCTCTGAGTTGAGGCTAAGAAACTGTGTGAAAGGCTGATAAGAACTGAGGTGGGACAATTGTGGGATAAGAAGGTGGAGCACTTTAAATCCCCTGGTATTTAATTGATTTTGTTATTAATGTATGCATGTATGTATTCACTCAATCACTGATTCATTTGTTCCTTCTTTCATGGGTCCATTTAACTATCCTTTCTACCACTTAAGTGTGCACTCTATGTTAGATATTGAACTAACATGTATGGATAGGGTGGGGACGAAAGTACAAGTTATCCCTGTTTTGCTAAAGCTATAGTCTAGTTGAGAAGCAGGACTAAGCAAGCCATTGTAGGTTCAGAGACTATTGGAGAAGTCTAGAACCACTTAGGTTCAGCTAAGTGAAACTGTATAGTGAGAGCAGTTTCCTAGAGAAAGTGATGTTTTAGGTAACACAGGAAAAATAAGGAATTCAACCTGTAAACAAGCCAATGGAGAATCTGATAGGAAATATGGTCATCCCTTATTGTCTTAGAGGAATTGCTTCCACAACACCTGGAAATGCCAAAATCCATAGATAATTAAGTCCCTTATGTGAATAGTATGGCATAATGTCTTCATACACCTTATGTACATCATCCTGAATATGTAAAATATCATCTCTAGCTCTCTAGACTACTTATACTATATTGTTTAGGGGATCATGACAAGGAAAAGCACTCTATATATGTTTAGTTCATATTGGTGCAGTTTTGGTCTCTGGAACCCACAGATAGGGAGGACTACCAATTACGCATGCAGTAGCTCTGTTTTAAGAGAGAACATGGATCATTTGCCAAGGTAAAATTTCATCTTCTGAAGATGAATTGGTTGCAGAGTTTGGTGGAAGGTCTGATGAGGAAGGCAGAGCTCATATGAAAATCTCAGGGACCATGGAAACCAATATTCCATTTTCATCTAACCTCTGTTTGATTGACGTTCATGGGAACATTGTATAGGGTTACGGTTTCAGGATGTGCCCATCAGAGAGTCTAAACACAAACAGGAAAGCAGTATCCTTGGTGGCAGACTTAGAAAGGGGAAATCCGTGGTTAGGATCTTCCTAAAGGAGAATGATGCCCTCCTTCCCTGGACTTGGTAGTCTCCCTACATGCACCTAAGATCCCTGCTTCAGGAACCTCAAAACCATCTCCATTGTAAGGATATTTTTACCTGTGTGTGTATCTATTTTATTAATTTTTAACCTTCTTAGAAAAGCAAACATTTCACTCCTCTCGGCAGTGTGACCGTAGGTGGGGACAAAGAAGACTCCAAATTGATTTCTACCAGAGCACTCCATTAATGATTAGCAACCCTCTGGAAATCATTGTGGGGGCATATCAAACCATAATAAACCATGGAGCCCCTTTATAGAACTACATCCAGAGGAGGCTTCCCATCAATATGAGGCTGCTGTGAAAATAGCAGGGTAGTTATCGATCCTTTTATTAGCTGGTTTCAGCCCAGATTCTCATAATCAAGGCTAAGGAGCTGTGGGCAGAGGGAGTCGAGTAAGATTGGTTCTTTCCATTGTTTTTTAAAAATGGAAATGGCTTTTAGGCAAGTTGATGCTGGTCTATGCAGCAGTATAGCTGCTGTTAGTTGTCTTGGGTAGAAACAAAATGATAGAAAAGTTTCGTGTCAACACTGCCCCCAGAATCTCTGTTCTCAGCCGAACTGTTCAGAACATGCACACCTTGGTTTTATATATATAGAGAGAGCAGCATGAATGACATTTATAATGAGCAGTGTTGTTAGGATAAGGAGACTTGTGCCAAGTCTTCTATAACTTGGCCCCTGGGCTCTGACTCAGGACACTCAGCTTATAAACATGGAACCCATGCATCAATTGGAAAGTGTAGTAGAAGATGATAAGAGGCAATGGTGGCCTATGGAAAAGGCAGTTGAGCTTATGAGCAGAACATTGAGCTTTCCTTCCAGCTGTGCTACTTGTCGATGAGCTCAGGTCTACTCATCTGTGAAATGGGAATAATAATACTATTTTATAAAGTTGTGAGGATTTAATGAATTGCTCAGTGTTGGTCCAGTATAAAGTACTCAGTAAAATTAGGAACGGTGTTAACCAGGGGGAAACTATATATATACCATGAGCTTGCCTGGCATGCACATGAAACTCATGATGCCATCTCATCATAAACAACCAGGGTCTTCATACTGCTGAAAGCTGTCACTGTGCCACTCTGAATCTGACATATCCCTGATTAGATTCCTGGTTTATTCTTAGTTTGCTATTCTAGTAATAATTTCTACATGAGACAATTTATTTTGTTTTGTTTTGTGTTTTCAAAAAAAAGTTTTGAGGTAGGTGTTGAACTTTGCCTGAGCCCTATGCACTTGGACAAATAGCCAAGGTTAAGAAATCACCCACCGTTTGTGTTTGGGAAATGGCTTGGCACAAAGAAATCGTCCCCCATGTGACTTGGTAACTCTGGTGTCTCCCTTGTTTATCGATAATAAAGCCAGATTCTTATTCTTTGTCTCAGCTAAATGATTAGCTGAACTACTGTCTTACTAACCAATTTGGACAAAATGCCTGATAATTTGACTTGATCAAAATTAAGTCTGGCTTTTCTACTGCCCTGTGCCTCTGAATTTTGGCCAAGCTTGTGCAAGAGCTGTGAGCTTAGGCAAATAGTGCAATGAGAGCAGGCCCTCCATCACTTTCAGCCTTCTGAGTGTCACTTGACCCCAAAGAAAATGTTTCCTTCAGTTGTTCCTTCAGGCCATCTCTCTCCCTGTTCCATACCCAGTCTTTGTCCTATTTTATTTTTCCATTTTAAAGCAATTCTTGGGGATGGTCAGAGGCTGCATTAGATAGATAAATGCTTGCCATGTCAAACTTGAGGACCAGGGTTCAGACCCCCAATGCCCACATTAAAGTTAGGTAGCATGGCAGCCCCATACCAATATTAGGGAGGCAGGTACAAGGGATCTGGGAAAACTGGTCTAAGGAGATCACTTAGCTCCAGTTTCAACAAGAAACCCTGCCTCAGTAAATCAAGCAGAGAATGATGCATGAAGACACGTGAATCAAACTCTGTCCTCCACACAAGCAGCTACACACATGTGAATACTATACACGTAAGTATGCATATCACATATATACACATGCAACAGAAAATGAAATAAAATAAATTTTAAAAGAACTCATAAAAATAAATTTGAAAGCAATTCTTAGCCAGGGAGGATGTCACATACCTGTAATCCCAGCACTTGGGAAGTAATGTCAGAAGAATTAGTAGTTCAAGGCCAGCCTTTTCTACAGAGTAAGTATGAAATCAGCCTGTGATACATTATACCTTGTCTAAAAACAAAGAAATCAGTTCTTTGTTCCTTCACACTGAAGTGCTTGCAGATAATGATGATCAAAGTCTACAGTAGCTTCTTACCTAAGTCAGGGTTTATTTGACATAGAATACAGTCCTCTTTTGAATAGTCAAAAGGAGGACTGTATCTTTAAAATTATCATAATAATAGTGGCTA